TCATCATCACTTTCCTTTGGATCTTCTCCCACCTCATCGCTTTCTTTTGGATCTTCTCCCTCCTCATCACTTTCTTTTGGATCTTCTCCCTCCTCATCGCTTTCCTTTGGACCTTCTTCTTCCTCCCTCTCAGTTGTTCTGGTGTGTTCCTTTTGACCTTCTTCCTCCTCGTCGCTTTCATCTGGACCTTCTTCAGACTCAGGCTCTGGGGGTGTTTTTTGCTGAGCCCGACGCTCTATCTCCTGTGGGTTTGGGTCTTGCTCGGCTTCAGGCTCTGGGGGTGTTTTCCGTTGGGCCTGCTGATCCTCACTTGTGGGATCTGATGCCGCCTCATCTGGGGTGCCATCACTTTCCTCTCCCATTGCCTCATCCTCTTCACTTTCCTGCTCTTCAGACGAAGCCGCGTCCTCCTCATCGTTTGCTTCTGCTTTGGGAACTTCACTCTCATGCCCACTTTCATCCTCACCTTCTTCTTGCTCTTGTTTGCATTCTTCTTCTTTCATGTCTGCATCTGCGTCTTCCTGAGAGAACGCGAGTCATACTCTATTTTGAAGAGGTGGCAAAGAACATGCATCACAGTGAAAAAGATCCAAGACTCTTATGAAGGTAACTCCTATGCCTATGACCAACCCCAAATAACATCCTCCAAACAATTTTAAACAATAAATAAGTTAACGAGTCCTTTGGTGGGGCCACATCGTGAGAACCAGAAGCATCACCACCAGGGTTCCTCAGTGTTCAAATGCATGATACATGTGTTCCAGCACTGCACTCATTCATACTCATCCTGTCAAATCAAGACAAGCCACAAATGCTCAAGATTGAATTCTGGGATGAAGGCATCAATATCCATCGGCTGGGTCTCCATGTCTTCCATAGACATAGACTTCCTGGGATATGTTTTATATATACAGCGTGCCAAGTTCCCATAGCTGGTTTGTTTTGGTTTGGTGCAAGGATTGCACAACACCATTTGCACATAAAGTGTCATTTTTTCTTTCTTGAGTTTTGCTTCCATCTTTTTGCCAGGAGATACGTAGACAGTCCCTTTTCTCTTTTGCTTGGCATGGTTTACGAGAATGGAGTGCACCCGAAAAGCCTCAGTTGCAAGCATGGGGGAAGGTTTCATGGTGTAAAAGATGTGCACCCCAAAGTGTTCGATCAAGGGACTTGATCTACAATCCAAGACTGCAGGTCTTCATCACTTCTTCCGAAACCTGGGTGCTGGTTTTGGCTACTAGGATGTTTGTTGACATTAACGCATGGGCTTTGCAACTCCAAGAACTGAGTGGATGACGCAGTTTTTTCTTCCGAACAACCTTCTCCACAACTTTCCGGATTTGAGTTTCCCTTGGAACCCGTTTCAAATCACAAGCAGTGTATGCGCTCCGGATCCATTGGTTAGATCCGATTCTCAGATCTCCTCCAGGTGCTAGCTCAAGTTCCTTCTTGACATAATCATAGGGCACCCTTTGGACCATAGCATCAAGCAATTTCCTCAGATATTTTAAACCACATTTGCATCGGACCCATCCCACCAACAATGCGCATCCATGGCAGCTAAACAGGTAGCCAAGAATCTTCCCTTCTTCATTCAGCTTCACTGGGTGCGACATGGCTCCGTTGCAAAAGAGGAAAAGTGGATCCCTGCATATTAGATTAGCACATAATCCAGGGGTATAGCCCAATTGAACCTCTCTGAGTTAGGATCTACCTTGAACGATTGGTGCCATGTCCTTGAAAGAGCATTGCGTCTCCTTGCTCTCGACCGATGGCAGGCTGCGGAAAACCACAAGTTCAAGAAGCACCACCTCACTTTGGCTGGATCATGGTTCATGTGCATTCAATCTTGAAGTCTTCGGACTCAAAAAATAAGGGGCGCTCAATTAGTTTCAATGCTAAGGGGTGCCAATTGGGCACCCCTTTGAACTCCCTGGTATGATTATATGTATATTATATATTATGTACTGTATATGTCTCCATCCGGTCCACGTACGGCAATGCCAGCCCCTCGGTCCATGACCCATGCGGATGGATTCCAAGGCACGGGGCCCAAGTGCCTCGGTGTCGAGCTCGAGCCGGACGTGTGACCCCAAAACAAAGCCCCGTTGGGTATCGACAGCTAAGGGTTATTGTTTTGGGATCCCCAGGAGGTTCCCGTTGGATTTCAGTCTGGCGCAACCAACGCCAACAAATCAACCCCCCCCCGGATGAAACTCATCCAGGGCTGCACTGGATGTGCTGCATTTGCTCTGCAAGCTGTGTAGTATAAAACTCTCTGGCGGTCTTAAAGCACAGCAATCAACAACTCATCACTCCAGTCACCTCCTGCTCACACGCTGCGGGGCCCCACCAACCGTGCACCATTCTGCGAGGTCCAGGGATGGACAAAAACATCACGACAGGCGTGGAGTTGTGGTCGGGGTGGCCGATGGTAACGGAGATCCCCAACAGATCCCAACAAACAGAAAGGGGTGAACACCGACCTCATCCGAACTGCACTTGTTCTTGGTGGGGTGGAGTGGAGGGGCCCCGCCCCCCCCCCTTCTGGCTCACCTTGAGAAGGTGAAACTGCAGGTAATCGAGGATGATTCATGGTACTTCCTGGCTAATGGGTATGCAACCTTATGCAAAGCAACCAGCTCCACGGCCCCCTGGTCCGTTTCTGCCAAATGCCGGGCCTGTCGGTGGGGGCGAGCTGTTGCTTCCCCTGAGCCCTAAGCATCGATTTCCTATATTATACAGTCAGTACCCTTCGACAACCCAACGATTGGCCGGACTCCCAGGAATCGTCCCAACATGTCCCTCCTCCAACAATCATGGATGCCGGAACATGGGCCCCAAAAGTCGGTTCTCAAAATCTAAATCTCCCCCTCTACAGGGCCATTGATCAGTGTCCATGGTCTTAGAGAGTGCCCACTAGGATCTTCTAAGGTGAGGTTGTGAAAATAGGGAGAACCGCACAAATGATCAGTTTGGGTGTATGTTCAACCCTTCCATAGAGTCAGTCGGAGTGGGTGTCTTCCTATTTCAATACGCACCCGTGTCTTCCTTCGATCTTCCCTTCCAAGCCATGCTGCTCAGGCCACCACCCAATCCCAAAGCCGACTGCCCCTGCGATGAAGAGGCGCGCAAAGAAGGTTCAAGTGCCGGTTCTGTGGGAGCTTGGAGTTCTCAGGTGTTCTTTTTTGAGAGCGGGTGTGCTTGGGAGAGCACACACTAGCTCAAGACCTTGAGAAAACACTGTAAATACCGTGCACCCGTTCTGTTTTTTTTTGGGGTGGGGTGTGGAGAGACGGTCTGCTCGTGAATGTCCTGCTGTCCTAGCACCTAGCAGGTCAACCGGTCAACCTGACAGCAAGTGACAAGCAGGTTCAGAGTAGATGGCACACATTGAAAAATGGCCTTTCGTCCCATCTAATTACTCTGAACTATGGACTGTAACCATGAGTCATCAAGAACTTCTTAGTCCCCCAGGATGGTCAAGGCATACCAGTGCAAGGTGGTCTTGCTCCCTTCCTCCTGCAAGCCCCAAGGCTCATGCAAGTCCCTGGCCCCCTGCAACTCGCTCCACTTGAGGTGAAAGCCAAACAAAGCCTACTACCCAAAACAATTCTCTTGCCCAATCAAAGCGCCACCCCCGAGTGGCTAGCCTTGCACATGGACTGACAAACGTTTCACATGTTTCACAAACTGACAAGTTATGACAAGTTGCCAACCAAAAACTAACCACCAGAAATTTCTACCGATCTCAGGTAAACTTAGGTTACACACCTGTGGGCACCGGGTGTCGGCCTGGCAGTACTGAACCTGCCCCTGATCCACAAAGTACCTCACGTGCAGGATTCAGGCATGAGAGGAGCTGAACCAACAGCTGACTTTTTATATATTGCTTTGTTGTATATAGAAAGTTTCCACGATACAAAGAAAGTGCTGTTGAAAAGTAACGCAACACGCCCCCTTAATGTAGACTCTTGTTTAAACGAACCCCCCCATTTGGATTGTAAGACCTCTTCCTTTGAAGGTCTTATTAAAGTCTACATCAAAGCTCCAAGGTGGGTGAACGACCCAACTTCCACGGGCAGAAGTCCCAGCGGAGTCTCCACGGCGGCTCCACGGAGCCGCCAAGTTACCGCCCACAGGACGCACCAAAGGGAGCATTTCAAACCTCCAAATGTCTGAGAGAATCCCAATGAAATAGGACAACCATCGACTAAAGGCGGTGGTCAAAACTTACAAAACTCCGTTGGAATGTCTCCTGCTTGACAGTCCCAAACGCACTGTCAACGTGGCATGTTCGACCACCGGTGACCACCGTTGCCAAGGCACATGCAAAGGGCGGGATCGACCTGAGAGGCCCAGCACACCCGGCCCGAGTCGGGCGGATTGGGACCGCGGATTGGACTGTCGGGCGTACCCATGGGATCCCATGGGTGTTGAGAAACAAACACCCTCCTGCCACCCTCCAGATCAGTTTCTTCTTCATGTGGACTCTCGAGTGTTCCCAAATGTTCCCGAAGACCGACACTTAAAACCACTTCCTTCGAAAACCGCTTTTCCTTCTTGTGTTTATCTCGGTCTCTTATTTGATCTTATTTGTGTCGTGGCCATTGCTTGGGGCGAAACCCAGTTCTTACCAGCTCCACCACCTGGTAGAGGCCAATCATCAAACCCTTCGACATTGCAGTTGCTTTGATATAGCAGTGAAACACTGGACAAAAGCTAGCTAGCAGCTCGGCCTCACCGGCCTCACCCATTCCTGCTCATCTCTGCTCCCTCGGAAGACTGAACCGAACTTCATGCGCCGGTCACACGACCGCTCCGATGCCACCCAGGCACCAACTCGAAGAGTGGATCCTGCGATGCCAAGGCTTTGGAGACCAAGGCCTTTCCCGTGGACCTCGGCCATCACCGGTGCGAAGCAAAGTGACACGCCGGCGGCCGAGCGCTGTGACAGGGCCGTGACTGGCCGCTCCGGTTCGGGCAGTTCGGGAGTAGCGTTTTACACAGCGATCAAGAACGTCCTCGGCTGAAACTAGGGTGCAACAATATAGGAACTAAAATACTAAAACCACTCTGAGTCGACAGGAGCTGGGATAAACTCGACAGGAGATCGTACAAATGATTTTTTCACGAAGCTGAGATCAATCCCAAAAAACTCCATGGTCCATGTCTGTCATCTATGCCTGCCATGGACTATGCCTTGATCCCTTGTAAAAACCATCCCTGGCCTGATCGGTCAATATGGCAGTCCCAGACAGGTCATGTGGTCGTGTTTGGGGACGTCGCTATCGTCGACCGAACAGGTGAAGCGACAGGTGACGCGTCGCTTCGAAGCACTGCAAAGATCGAAGGAACTCGACTCTTTCGGTGAAAAGACACGAACTCTTCTTAGTTGAGTGGGGTGTGCCCAATTCCTCAAAAAGGTGACGTATGAATATACTGTAGTCACAGAAACAAATGATGTCATGTATCGATCGACATATGGTTATCCACATGTTATCCACATGTTCCTGGATCAAACAAATTCAAACAACTGCTCCACCCCATCGGAGGAAAAGAAAAACAACCAACACCCCAGGACCACGCCGGTGTGGTTGGCGTACACCCCGGCATTCCCCGGTGATCGGTCGAACGGCATGCATTCATGTGCGGACGAAAGGCATCATGTGCAGCAAGGACTCGTTCATGGTGCAAACGAGCTTGAAGAAACCATGAAGCTTCACACATCCTTGGGTGGTCCAGCGACGGGATTCTGTGCGGATTCTCCACTCAGATGCTGTGTTTGGATTCTGAAGGATGTCTCCGCCAACAAAAACAAGGGCCTTTGGCTGAGATCGGTGCATTCCAAGGTGGGGTAAGTGAGACAACTCAAACGTATCTAACAAAAATAAACACTCCCAGCAACCCCAAGCGCTAAGCAACGCTCTACTACACTCGCGGCATTACACGTTCAAGGTCTTTTCCCTCCAGGAGACCCCACTCCAAAATCACCCATCAAACAATAACAAGGACAACATCTTCGAGGGCACACCAAGTAAACATACCTGGGCTTTATCTTTACCAGCGGGTCCAGTTGCCACTATAGCTAGCCACCAGTCAGTTCCAAAGACTTAAGCCACAAATCTTGAAGTCCGTTCCTTACTGAGTGGATTGATCCGGTCTCCGGGATTCCCTGGGCCTTGGTTTTTCTCGTCGTCCCTTCCCTCTAAAGCGGTGCTGGGAGTGACCCGCCGTTGAGCTCGCTCTGTCGATCTGTTGAGCCTCCGGGAGCTCGCTCTGTCGATCGCGGTTGTCGCGTTACGTCCGTGGGCTCGCCCAGGTGCCGAAGTGGGTCACGAAGCGGAGCTCACTCTGCAGCTGCTTCGTCAAAAGACTGAGGATGGTGATGCGGTGCTCCTGGCGATGGCGAGGAAGAAGGGAGGATGGAAGCTCAAATGCAGGCGATGACTTGGTGATTTGAGGGGTCCAAACACTCTCAAGGTCAGTGCAGAGGAGGAAGGAGGGGAAGAAGAAAGGAGGAAGAGGAGGAAGAAGAAGAGGTCGGCGGAGGCGGAGGAGGAGAGGAGAGAGAGGAGCCCACTTCATAGCACAATGTCTGGACCTGGACAAGTAGGCATTATAAGATCATTTGGGTCTTCTCCTCTCTACACCTGCTTGTCCTCAGCTGTCTTCCACCCCGAGCCACATGTGGATTCTCTTCGCGTCGTGTTGTGGCGGTTGGGTGGGAACAACATGGGTATATTCCATTACCAGTAACAGTAGATGATCATGGTTAGTGAAGGCCTCTCTACAAATAGTGATCATTGTTTACCGACTGTTGCAGGTACAATGGGACACACATGGGCAAACCCAATCGAAAACATTGTCCAAGCCACTGGAATCGCTTCGCCCGAACGGCTGGTGGCATACTCGGTGTAGCGGAGCACCTGGAGAAGGCCAATGGCCAGGAGAATGGACGCGTTCCGCACGGCCAGGTGAATGAAACTGTTGTGGCGATGTTCCTTTCTTGTAGTTGGTGTGGAATTTCTGGATCAACGATTTTGAGGCAACCCTATATGTGAGACATCCAAAATCAAAAAGAAGGTCAAGTCCTCCTCCAAGGTTCACCCACGCTTGAAGTGGAGTGCCGGAGCCAAGCGCAAATGGACTAAGGCGTGCCAATCATGGGACTACAGTAGCTCATAGTAGCATCAAACATGCAAATATATGCAAATAAACAATAAACAGCAGCGTTTGGTAACTTGCTTTACCAACCAAGCTTACTTGGGCTGCCTTCGCACACTTTCTTGCGTGCCAACTAGCTAAGGCTGGCACCGCCCTCGTGTAGTTCACGCAGTTATTATATATATATAGCTATTTACATTATATATAAAAGGCTTTGCCCATCCACACTCTTTGTCCAACTCCACCCTGGCAGCCTTGAAGGTCAAGTCCTGCGGCACCTTCTTCTGCAGCAAGTATCCTCGGTCGGCCACGCTTGTCCAAACCGGCGGCCGAAACCGGTGAAACAGCATGTCCAATGCGAAGGCTTGCACTCGTTGGGCTCCAGAAAGGCATGGGCAGATAGATATTTTATGATATTTTCTGACTGGTGCGACTCGCAGGGAATGAGGGTGGCTGGATCCAATAGGATCTCTATTGGGGGCGAAACTTCCCTTATTCCCTACGAGTCGCACCAGTCAGTTTTCCAGTCTCGAGGTAGCACAGGTTGCACATATGAATGTTCCTGAATGTTCCTCTGGTCTAGATGCTGACACGTGGGTTGTTGAGAAAATGTTCACATCGAGTTTGAAGCTACTGAGGATTTCATGATGTATTGATCTCTTGCTGCCATCGGGCATTCCCAAACATCCAATCTTCCTCCCAAATCAGTCTGACCAGGAAACGGTGACCAGCCGCTGCCTTACCACCACGCTTGGGGTTTGGGGGGTACCAAAGACCCCCTGTAAACAGGGGCGTCTATTAATAGCCCCGTAGCCTTAGAGGTTAAAGAGTGTCTATTAACCACCCCCCTTGTGGGCTGTGGTTCAAAACAAAAGAACCTTGGTTGACCACCAAAAAATGAACAGAATAGACACTACAAAGGAGGTCAACCAGGGTTTGGGGCTTTAGGTTGTGACTCACAGCCATCTGCCATCTGCCATTCTCAGCTGCCAAGGTGCGCCTCAGCAACCAAAACTGCTTGGACTTGTCTTCCTGCGAGGCGAGGGTCCCGTGTGGTTTTGGAACGCAACAGGGCGCGTGCCAAAACTGCTCGTTTGGAGCCACATATTATGTTACAGTAGTAACTAGTACACTCCGACAAGATCCGACAAGCAGTTCAAGTTCAGCACAATCGAACTAACTACACTGATCTGCATCAACCCCCATCAAAACGCAACATGGTCGGACTCTCAACCCTTCCAATTGGGTCAACAAGGGGTCAACCGCCCCGTCCTGCATGTTCCGCAGCTGGGTCATAGAAGCAGTAATGGAACTCACGAAGGACCTGGGAGAAGCTGGAACTCTGGTGGATGGGGCCAATAATTCAAATCCATTCATCCTCCCTAATCCTCTTGAACCCCAAAGGTCTTCGATTCCAGAACCTAGCTGACCTTGCTTCTTCGTCACGTTTTGTCTTCTACAGCCCTCATTGTCTCGGTGGTCGCCTCATCCCTTCTTCAGCGCCAACGAGACGTGCCATCCGCCCGGCGGAAAAAAGCGCCGCTCCCGGCGGGACTTTGATGGATTTTGGGGCGCCCCACGAGAAGAGCACCAGTCCAAAGATGAGCACCTTGCAGCGGAAGAGAACATCACAACAAGGATGGAAGTGGAATGTAAGCCCATGTGTAAACCATGACGCACTGAATGACTTCGCGTTGATGTGTTGTATGTTCAAAACGTTCAAACCACACGAATGCGTTGGACCTATAGAAGGATCTTTTCCAACAAGCCCGGCCCGGCCCTGAAGTCCCACCCTCCGACGACGTTGCGCAGGGCGATTCAGGTGGTTTTTCTTCACTTGAAGTGAGGAGGGACATCCGTGCCAAAGCGAGGAGGGAACCATCTCAACCGTTTTGTTCCTGGGAAGTCACCATGGAATCTGAACTACCCCGGCTTGCTTCGTGGTGGATGACTTCCAGCTGGGGTCCTTCAGAACCGATGCCGACTCCTGTCCCGCCCACGTGGTCCACTTCGACCCCCGCCCGCCGCGAGCGCGTCGCTCGGCGAGCCGAACTCGGAAGCTCCGAGGCGCTAGGATGGCGAAGGTGCGTTCCACCATGTTCTGCGGGTGAACATCGACCTGAAAGCAGCTATCGGTGTTCTGCAGCCACACGGTGAAGGAAAGCGAGCTTAATCCCCTGTACCCATGGTAGTCCGATAGTTCCGGCCAGTCCACGAGATAGATTCCCCCTTGGCTGGTTGACCAACAAATCAGGTTCGTATTATGGGCGGAAGGCGAAAAAGGAACATCTTATATGGTTTTCCCCAAAGCTTTACGGCTTTTCCGGTCGTTCTTCCAAACCAATTCTGAGATCAGTTCCATCTCTAAGTGGTCCGAGGAACTGGGTCAGCCACACAGGCCACCGGACTGGGCACCGGGTGACTCGCACTGGTCGGCGGACAAACACACATAACACGAACGAAAAGAGTCCAGTCGTTCGATGTGTTGCTTCTTGACCGACCACCGTTGGCACTCAAAATGGCTGAATTGGGACAATGATTGAAACGCATATCCTTGCTTCTTGGTGTTCTGGATTCTTCTGTTGTGTGGGAACGCACGCGCGCGCCCACACACACAGACGTACACGTACACATGGAACCTACAACTCACAAACGTGCCTATTGGCACAGGAGGGTGCAAACTTGGGGCAAGTGCCCACTCAAGAGCAAACACAAAACCACGATTCGTTCATACCACTTGCATCCTGTCTCCCGATTGCTTGACTCAAGGGGGGTTGCCTCAAAAAAGGGTAGACGCCTTGAACAAAGAAGTTACTTGATCTCTATTGGGAGCTGGTGAGCCAGGATGAGCCAGGGTTTACCCGGAGCTGTGCCCACCATTCAAATCGCTCTCCTGACCTGTGACTCTCCGGACTCTCTCTTTCTCTTTCTCTTTCTCGTTCTTTCTTTCTCTCTGTCTCTCTCTCTCTCTCTCTCTCTTTTCTCGCTTCCGAGCCGGTTTTTTTCGCTCCTGTGCGCTGGGGCAAACTACAAGAAAAGCGCGTAGCACGCAGGTCTCACACACATCTGTTCGGCAGAATCGGGACACTTACTTTGAATTGCAGTAACCCCACACTTATAAAGAGTTTGGCCCACACTTAGAGCCTTCCACCCTTGCTTCGGCAAACTCACAGTTAGAAACCATAGTTCAGCAAAAAACAACAGAAAAACAATAAGAAGCAGGTTCACACACCAGCTTGCAACTGTTTGGCTCAAATCAAATCCATAAGCTTTGAAGAATCACATTGACACAAGCAATGTTTGTTCTTCGTTATATACAATTGTCTTAGATTATCTTAGTAAAATATTGTGCGATGCCTTTTTCCTTTTCCAGTTCTTTTAGTTTCCTTTAGCCGTGATTGCTCTCTTCACTCAGAATCATGCATGTACTGTACACGTGCCTTTGCCTGAATAGTGCTGGACATATGCAAACATAGAACATTATCGAACACACCTTGCATCAGGGTTCCAAGTCCCTGTAGCGCAGTTCTACAGATCTACTACCTATGCATCTTGGGGCAAATGGAACAGCGGATTTCTTGTTCTGATATGTTCTAATATGTTCCTTCTAATTACAGTAAGTAGTTGTCCGTCAGGATAATGCACATCCGGAACTGCCGCAGGCAGTCCAAACACAGCACTTTGCTGGGCCACAAGGCCACAGCCCCCTGGGGCTTCCAGCATCGACCTGAAATAGATCTACGGGGTGGGTCTCTGGGCATTTGGTTTCCATGTGTTGCCGCTGCTGAGGCCCAAAGGGCTTCAAATGCCTCCGCAGCAGTGCTGCGATTGGCTACTAGGCTACACTTTTCAGTCCGAAACGCTATCCGCGAAAAAGGCCATGAGTCAAGTTCAGCTCCATCATCAGCAAGTCCTTGGCAGACCATTTCTGCTTGATGAGCATCTCAGTGCCTTGTAAAATATGGATCACCTGGATCCGGCTCTCGGAATCCTTCGCCTGCTGAGCTAGATCCAAAGCGCTGCGACCTCACGATCAGGGATGAAAAAAACATGACTGGAATGAGGGCCTGCAGAATTTTTGTAGTCCATTGCCCATTCTCACAATACCAGATCCTTCTTGCGATTGCATGGTCCTCCATTTCTCAACCTGCCTTGGGAGGTGTTCTTCTCTTTGTCCGCACCCGCCCGCAAAAGCACTTTCACCATCTGAGGCTTGCCCAACTTGGCTGCCACATGGATGGGGTAGAGGGCTAAGAATCTGACCCCAAAAAGGTTTCTCGCTGCCACGCGTCTGTGTCGGGACAGAAATCTCTTCAATTCCACCTGCTCGGCTTTCTTCTCTTGGCATCTCTTGAGGGCTCCCAGTGTCATGCTGAGCTCGCCATCCTCATCGTCCTCCTCCAGTTCGCCACAATTGACGGGCTGAAGTGCATCCAATGAGTCGGGCACGTCGGGCGCGTGGAGTTGGGGGGGTTGAACTGCGCGGATGTCTTGTAGTCCGAAGCAAGGCGGGGTCATGGGCCTGGCTGGAAAATGGCCTCCTGAAGAATCTCCGTCGCAGCAAAACGCAGGCTTGAACAAATGGCCCGCTTGAGCCCCAAGTCCAAACATACCTGGTACTGAAGGAATCACCCTGAAACTGGTTGAGAACTGTGTGTGCTTGTGTGGTGTGGGTTGCAGTTCAAAGTTCATGGGGCTCAATTTGGGGAAGCATTCTGGTTTTCCCCAGCCCGAGACACTACGTGAAGTCTGGTCTTCCTGGGTTGCTTGCCGATCTAAGCATTTAGAAGGAAAGGCGTAGGCGTCGCGTGTTGGCTCTGAGGGGACTCATGCTTGTTTCAGGCCATGCCATCGTGCGTATATGTCAACTATAATATATAGAATAGACCCATAAAGAAATGAAAAATTAATAATAATTAATTTACTGTAATATCAATCTATATATACCTTGAAAACCCAACCTTGCCTTTTGTTTGGTCATCGGCTGATTTGGAAGCGAAAAACGTATTCTTTCAAGCAAAAGTGCAATCGGGAGTGAACAGTGTTATCGTGTCTTCCAGGCCCATTTCAGTGGACAGATCCACTTCAAATTGACCCTTCAAACCTGACAAACTTGGGCCATATTTTTGTCCGGGTATTTCCGCTCTTGTTTTTTTTGTGCTTCTTTTGAGCCCGGTGGCTGGGAACCCTTTGGATCCGGTTTCTCATGTAACATGTCTGGAATGTTGTGAAATACCACAAAGTGTATGTTGGGATCTGTGAAGTTGAGAAAGTGTCATTATGTCACTAAACATTGTGTTTTTCCAAAAGGACTAAAACAATGCACACTTATGGTTTACTAGGTAGTATTGTTGTTAATTTGATTTACAGTATTTAGAACTTAGAACTAGACCATATATTATCTACTCCATATCTGGAGTCTGAAGTAAGGGCATTGGCTTGTGAAAAGCTCTCTCAGCTGCACCGGACAGCCCTCAGCACTTGCCCCGTCAGCCGGCCACCGGACGGCACCCCATCCGGGACATCATCTCCATCCAAGAAGCTGTGGCGGGAGTGAACTGGGTCAAGCTCCAGTGCAAGGCAGTGGCGTAGCGATAGCTCAAGGGTTGTGTGCCAGGCTGCATCCCATAGGCCTAAGGTGAGATTGTTTCTCTTCCAAGGGCATGCAACAATGAGTCCACTCCCTGAAAAATCATCAGAAGTGGAGTGAGTGAAAACCACCTGATTTGGGTCTGAGAACTTTTTCATGGTCATCCGTTTTCAAAGGCCCATGCCATGCCACCTTGGCTGATTTCAGGGAGGGGCCTCTTGACACCGCCAGCAGCCCGCTGCTGGGCGGTGTCAAGCACCGGGCCCCTATGGTCGACCACAATGATCCAGGTGTTTCAAACGCTGTTGTGCCCAACGTGGGTCCACCATCATCGTGAAACAAGAAAATGCGGAGCAGCAAGCTAAGCACGCGGTTTCGGTGAACAACTGTGAAGCGGAGCCGAGCCTGGGGGGCCTGGAGCCGAGCCTGGAGCCTTGTGACCTTTTACGAGTTGTTTCTATTCACGTTCGAACTCGTCTTGCAGTCACCGATGCTCAGCTGAACCCACCATGGGTACCCATGATCCCAAAGACTCGGATTTCGGATTGACCCACTCGGAGGCTTCTTTCAAGCGTAAATATGATCGGCCCGTGCAGGTCATGCAGTGGGCCGAAGAAGGAGGTCATTTGGAGTGGCTGGTGGAGACGGAAAAAAGAGATTTGGAGGGGTTCACCATCCGGAAAAAACGGAAATATGATACATGATAGATAAAAACAACAAGTAAACTAATAACGGGGGCATCCAAGCTTCTTGGGAACTGCGATCCTGGCTTGTGTTGCTTCACTTTGCGTGTGTGGGTGCGCGAGTTACTGTTTATGTTGCCTTGGAATTTGCCTCCACCCCTCGCAGGGCAGGTTGAGGCATTCTGATTCACATGAACATTGCATCCGGGGGGGTTCTGTGGAGACGTACTTCCTGCATGACATTCAGCAAGGAATACTGACTCCAGAGCCAGAGGTCACTGGAAAATAGAACGCCAACCTTTTCCATCTGTTCCAATTACCTTCAGTGCAGTGTCCTCCCACAAAAATTCTTTTGCAGGTTATCCATGGTAATTATAGGTTATCCTATCTGTTCCATACTTTTCCGGTCCATCCACTTCTTCATCACATCCACCGAACGACCCTGCAGGGGCCAGTCCCGCAGTCGTCGGCACTGGTCCTCCGCACCTTCCTCCGCGTTCAGTCCTCGCCCAGACACATCCCTCCAGTTGGGGGTGCCTGCATTGGCCAAGCCTCCCATCAAATACCTGGCCGGCCGAGTCTCTGGTTGACGAGGGGGGTTTCGGGCGACAACGGCGGTTTCGGGAAAAACCAGGATCAGCCAGGATCGTAGTGGATCACCTGATCCAAATATGATCTGAACTGGGCTGTCTGGAATCCATTCAAATTTAGGGTCGTATAGGAGGTGTGTGGCTTGTTGATGATGTGCTCTTCGAGAGGTTCTGCATCCCTCATACCGCATCATACCGCGTGATTTGGGTTTGGGGTAAATAACGCTCCACAGGTTCTAGTCGTTCTTCCTTGGCCATTGGGCGTTGGGCTCCAAAATTCTTTGACAGCCATCTGTTTGGATATGTCTGGAACATGCAAATGCGTTCAAGGATTCTATGGTCCGTGCTCTTTGACTCCCGACCCGTTTCCTTGGACAATTCAAGGTTCACCGAATAAACTCCACTTCTTCTTGTTGAGTGGGGCGTCACCAATCCCCCAGACAGATTCTACAATCTCTACAAAGACTATCCAGGCACTTCGCTTGACGGTCGCGCACCATGCTCGCTTGGTCAGCTCAGCTGGAATGCAGGGGTGTCAGCTCAGCTGGGACTTGTCTGAATGGCACTCCAGAAGATCATGGAAAATCCCATACTTCCCCAAGCTTGGCAGCACCGGAGTTTCACTTCATCTACATCGGCATGATGGTGCTTTTCCCACCGCCCCCCACGTGGTCAGGACACCACAGGGACGCCACAAAGTGATTCACCAGCAAAAGCCTGAAGGCGCCGACCGGACACCGTGGTCCCCGCTATCGGACCCCGTTTGGGGGGGATGGAGCTCGAACAACTGGGCTGACGACTCGGAGTGCTGACGTGAGTGGGAGCCAGAGAGTGACTTGGGCCCCATCAAAGCTGTATACAGCTAGCGTCCGTCCAGATTTGATGCTTTGGGGTGGACCAGCGGTGGAGCGATGTTCATGACATTGCAATCTTGCTGGTCCAAGTCTCAACTCTCCGATGCAATCTGAAAGGCTCCCACAAGTGGAAGGCTCGCCAAGCAAAGCCAAGAGCCAAGCAAACACTTGAATCGCACTCCAAGCGGCAAGATGATGAGCTTCAGGATGTTCAGAAGAATGAACACGACCTGCAGCGGTCACACCAACGAGACGAAAACGGACGGTAAGAAGGGTCGTCCTGGCCCCTCCGTTGACCGTTGAGAGCGGCAAAATACACAAACAAGCAGGAACTCACATATATCACGATACACTCATGTAGAAGATGAAACAAAAATGCTACACAAAAAATATCTTCTCACCATTGTCTTCTCAATGAATGTGTGTTCCATCATTTCTTCCTGAATTGACCACATGTCTGGTAATTAGCCATGAAAGGCAGATGCAAGGAACCTGCCCTCGCCTCAGATGTGATACGGTCTTTGAGCATGTCGATGACTCGCTTCAACTTCACCTGAGGCAGCGTCACGACCGGCACAGCTGGATGTGTATTTAGGGGGATCTCCCAACCTGGCTAGATTTTTGGTCTGCTTGTTTGATTCTCCCAGAGGTCCGTGAAGGATATAAGGCACGCCCTTCCAGGATTGGCCAACACCCCCATACAAAAGCAGCCATTTTTTGCAGTGAGGATCATCCCGATTCTCCTGTGGGAAGTAGTCCGAAATTCTCGGTCCAAGAGCATCCCAGTGGGCTGGATGTTTGGGAGGCACTCCCCAGTCCCTAGGGATCCAAGTACCTTCTCAGAAGGTGATTGGAGGCACTGTTATGTAGGTTTGGAGGGTCCAAGTACCTTCTGAGAAGGTACTTGGATCCCTAGGGAGTGGTTCAAGACTCAAATTCGATCATCTTCGCATTTTGGTACTTGGATGTTTCCTTCGTCCTTTTGAGGCCGAAATCGGAGCCGTGGACTCCCAACTCTCCCAGATGCCCCAGATGCCCATGGGGTCGGTTCACATCGCCCTCTGCCATAGAGATTCCTCTCCTCCTTTTCTTAGTATTGCTCTTTGGAATTTTAGAATTTTTTTTGCTTTTTCAATTGGGGTTGAAGTTTGTCTGTTTGAAGGTTTTGCTACCACCTCAAAAGTTATTTAGACTTCTCGATTTGTAGGGTCGCGTCTGACTGTGTAAATCATGACTAGGTTCAGCTCTAGCTAGGACAGTCCCTTCTTAGCAGTTAAACTTGTAGTCATGTCAACCTTAACTTTTCACCTTCATTGACGCTCCTAGAATATTGTCTCGATTTTTCAATACTGTTTTCTCGAGGAAGGGAAGAAAAGATATTTGGGCCTTGGACAATTTTATTTCCAAATCTTGACGCCGCCATGTGGCTCTAAATGGGTTTGCCTTCCCAAGTGGGGGTTGCTGAGTACTTTGGCTGCTTCGGTGAGGTGCTTTTCTGCAGAGGTCATTGGCTGCTTCGGCCAAATCCTTTGCCATGAGCAATGTGGAGGCGAAGGCCACATTGAAATTGGCGCGGTTGGGCAGGAGTTTCTGCTGAACCCTGAAGATTCTCAAGCTGGCTGCTGCAAATGGCCCAAAGCTGGTCCTTTCTATGGCAATGGCTCCCCCTGGTCCTGATCCAGAAATGTTGAAGTCCTTTTGTCGCTTTACTGCAGATACCCGCCGTTTGCTGATCCTCCACTTTGGGGAGGACGATGCCCTGGACGAAGCTGAGTGCTTGAGGAACGCGCTACTGTGGGCATGGCAGCATTTACCTGATTCAGCAACAGCCCTGCTAGACGGAAGTTTGGTTCATGTGCTGGATGTTTGCACCACAATCAAATATACTTGTCCG